TATATAATAAGTATACAAAGTATAGCGAAGTATAATAGTTGATTAATTTAGGAGTCAAAGTCGTATGATCGAGAAATGAAATAATGTAATTAGTTTAGAGTCTATTTGTATTTATAAGCGAAAAAAAATAAAGTAACTGCTTTTTTCGTAATGTAATAAGTAAAAATACTTGTCTAGTAATACATTTGTAAAGTCTACAGGAAAGAGTGTGTATGCACTTCTCTTGAGTTAGATATTAGTAGCACTGACTACTATTAAACCATATAAAACTAGTAAGCTGAGATCTAAACTGTTACATAGAACCAATTTTATCGACCCACAATGTCGAATGACTCTCGTAACAAAAAGCAAAAATTTGTTTCGCAGGAATCTCAAATCAAAAGCATTAATTCAGACCTCAATTATTAGCTTAAAGAAATCCAAGCCTTATTGGAATAAGAATGTCTCAGAAGTTACCATTACACACAATGACAAGCCAAATTGCTATAAACTTGAACACATTGAATTCACCTTCGAAAAGATTACCACAAAATTCGTGGTTCTCAGTTAAAGCAAATAGTCTCCTTGCATTCGAAAGCTACTTCATGGCAAAAGATAATGAAAAACATCCAACAAAGAACAGAAAAAAAAGCATAAGTGAGCCTAGGAAACAAAGGCAAAAGGCTACAAATCAAAACAAAGAAAAAGAATCAGCAGGGAAAACAAAAAAGATACGATTCTTCCCAACTCAGAAATAAAAGAAACGTTAATGAAACAGCTAAGTGGACCTATAACCAAGCACTATTAGGAAATAATAGAGTTCCCAGAGAGAAGCAAGCCATAGGGCTAAATGTGTAAATAGTGAGCTTTTTCAAAATGAAAATAAGTTTTGGAGACCCATATGGTATTCGATATGAAGGAGTGAATGATTTGCTTAAAGCATATAAGACTAACTTTGCAGCCCATAAGAAAAGATTTAAGATCAAGTGCCGAAGCAAAAAGAGCGGGTCCGAATCAATTGTTATATATTCTAAACACTGAAAGAAAGCTGAAGTATTCTATCCAAAGACATTTGACACAGAACCTATTTGAGGGGCAGAACCATTGCCTGATAGTTAAATCATGATTGTCATCTTCAGAAAACTAGATTAGGTGAATTCTTTCTATGCCATTCGAAATTTATTTTCACAGGATGTTTCGAACGATTTACTTTATGCTGTACAAGTAAATCGTTCGGTAACCCATGGTATCCCCTCTGTATATGGTTTTTTCATAATGAAATCTAATTTTACCTATTCTACCATCTACATTTTACAAAATGTGAACTTTTTATCATTTTCTTGAGTGTAAAGCTTATCAGATTCTATGTCTTCGTTGTAATAAAGTTTATTAATAATTTCTTCAAGTTTTTTTTGTTTTTTATAATAATTTAGTAAATTATCTAAATATGACCTTCATCAAAATTAACAAACAAAAGCTTCATTATTATTGTATAGAAAGTCAACAAGTAATGAGTAATAAATGCAATACTATAAACGGGGATGGCTAAAACCAGGTACATCGCGGGATTTAAAGTTAATTAAGAATAGGGTCAGCTTCGATCAATATAAGTTAGGATTGAGGAGGAATTATTGGTAAAATCGCCTCCCCAACATTTTTACTTAATGTACCACGATAGGTTTAGACACTCGTTTCCTGTATTTTTCGCGTTTTTCACTTTTTTTGCTTCGTCGGATGTAAACAAAAATACATTGATTTTGATATATGCAAGTTTACGATATATACAATTTATGTATACGTATAACGCTAATAAATAACATGTTTTAAACTAACATGTTCAGACAAGCATTATAACTAGTCTTAGATAATATCCTTAGTTATTACATTTTTTTATTAATATCCCGAGATAGGTTTAAACACTTGTTTCTCGTATTATCCTGAAATACTTGTAGCGACGATAAACTTGTGATTCTCTGCCTTTGATGATGTCGATGATAAGTCCATATCGACATAATTTCTTGAGTATTTTGGTTAAGTTGACTTTTTGCAAAAGAAACATTCGGAGTACGCCGATGCGGACGATGCAGAGTTATGCACTACGTATCGGTATTAAACAAAGTCTTTCGGATTTATGAAAAGGTGCTTATTGTATTGTACATATATGTATAAACATATGCATACGTAGTACGTAGTTGTGTTGAATTTTTGCATTGCGAACTTCCTTCTCATAGCATTTTTATTTTTCTATTTTGCGGATTTTCTGTTTTCTTTTTTTAATTATCTGGACAAAATCATATACATTGCTGCAGTTAAAAATTTTTACATCGTAGCTTTTATATATATATATTCGACATATAAAAAACTTATTAATTAGAATATGGAACGTTCAGAAGGATGGTTTGAAAAGGTTATTAGTGAGCGGAATATTGAGTCTTACAACTATCTTGAATTCTATGGCTCTAGTCAAATTGATGAAGGGAGATTTGGGACTGTGCATAAATCAGAATGGAAAGTCAGCGGATCAACCGTTGCGCTTAAAAAATTAAAAGCGAATAAAATAAATATTAAACGATTAGTTAAAGAGGTAAGAAAATGAATTATTTACTATGATAATAATGCAAGGATTTTTTAATTTAATAAATACCATTAAACGTATATTCAGATTAAGAATTTACATAAAGTCTGTGAGCATCCAAATATTATTGGATTTTATGGAGTCACTCGAGGTTAACAAACAATAATTAAATGATCCGTTGTTCACATATGAAATCAATAATTTTAAAAAATATATTCTTAATAGAACGCTCAGATGGATTCTATGATATGGTTTTGCAATTTGCAAATGATGGAAATTTACGTGAATATTTAAAAAAAAGGTTTTCAAAGCTTGAATGGACTGACAAATTGAGAATGGCCCGCGAAATTTCAGACGGTCTTTTATTCTTACATAACAGTGATATTGTTCATCGGGATCTCGTAAGTATTAGCCTAATTATGTTTTCAGATGGAGACGAACAAATTTATATAATAACGATAATTATTCTATTTGTAATAAATAACCACTTTCATTCAGCATTCTAAAAATATTCTAGTTCACGAAGAAAGAATGTTGATTGCAGATTTTGGCTTATCAAAAGACGAGACATCAAGAACCTCAAATTCTGCCATCAGTGGAATGGAAGTATACATTGACCCTCAATGTTTCATAAACAAATCATATAAACGTAGCAAGAAATCTGACATCTATAGCTTTGGAATAATTCTTTGGGAAATTTCAAGTGGCCAACTACCGTTCCCTTGTTTGCAGATGTTTCAAGGAAAGCCTGAAAGCACACCAGACACATACATTCAACTTTATCAAAGATGTTGGGACCGTGATCCAAACTTGCGCCCAACAATGGAAGAAATTTCAAAAGAACTTGAGGGTCTACCGAACAAAGCATTTATCAATACAATTAAGACTGGTGTAGATAACTATAAAGCTGCGTTAATATTAAGTTGTTCAGAGCAATTGGATTCCCTTAACAATACAACTGAAGGTGAACAGAAAATGCTATTGGCTTTTATTTTTTATATAACTTATTATTTTCATTAAGTTTTTAATAATATAAATCTTTTTTTTTTTAGATAATCAAGACGAATCTAACGACGATATATATTCAATATATGATAACAATTTGAATATTAATATCGATGCGCAATCATTGGGTAATCAGAATGAATCTAACGATGATATACGTTCAAACTATGTTACCGTCGGCGATTCAAGCAAGACTGATGAAATTGCCTTGGATAATATCAGTGACATTCCTAAAACTTTGATTGTGAATATCGATATACAATCATTAGACGAAATATGGAATTTCTTTATGACATACGTCCTGAATATGGGAATTTTGTTGATATTACAGCCACACTCACGTGATATGGATTTGGTTTTGGAAGTTGGGGGTTGGAGCCTTTTATACAAATTTTCATGATGTTAGTAGCTCACCCACAAAAAATTTTCCGGTCATGTGACTTTTTTATGGCACTAGCCAATTATATTTCAAGAT